AGGAAAAAAAACACAGCGACCTGCCCAAACCCGCCCCAAACCCGCCTTGGGCTCGGGCGCCCGGTGGGCACCCCGAGCCCAGTTTCACCCTGAACCTGCGGTGTAGATGCTCTGAGTGAGGTACCCTAGGTTGTTCTTCATGTAGATTCAGAATCTTAAGAAACAATTCCATTGATATTTGATCTTCTCATTCATTTTCAGTAATATTCATGTAAAAACATCTCTGGTGAGTAGTAATTTCTTTTTTGTATTTTATATTATGTTTGTGTACTATAAAAGGTTGTCTCTGCTATAGTATCAAGCTGACATACTGCAGTGCAGTAAGAAATAACCTTTCACAACACACCTCATACCCCAACTTTTGATGAATGATTCTACTATTTCCATCTGTTGGAATTTTGCTGTCTATTCCACTCATCCCTAAAATAACTTTTTGACCTTTATTTCTTTTTCTTTCTAATCACTTTTTATGAGACCAGATTATAGTATTAAGTAGCATGTTTTTTGTTGACTGATCATACTTTTGTAGTCTCACAAACCCTAATTAGTAGTAGTTCTTTTTCTTCAACTCATGACTCTGCAATGTCTTCTTTGTTTTCTAAAAGTTGCACTGCTTTTTGCTTAAACTGTTTTGCTTAAATTGTGCGTGGGACTCCGCCAAAATTTTAACAAGATGTTGTTTATAAGCATTGCTTGTCCAACAAGTTTTATTTGTGAGCAAGCAGCTATGTGAACCGGTCTAATAAGTATGTAAAGGATACTTGGGTGCAGATCTGTTTGATTCCTCAGAGCAATTCTACCTTACAAACTAGTTACTAACACTTGATTATACTCAAATTACTACTTGCCAACCACATTAGCACTTTTCAGCCAAACCCATTTAGTATGAAGCTTTCACCACCTAGCTGGAAGGCTTCAATAACTTCACAATGTCAGGTTGTGGTTCTGCCTCTCATGGCTTTATCATAACTACTGGTGTCACACTATTATATGACCTGTCATTTACAGGTCTAACCCTCAATTAGGGCCTTTTCTAGTGACATCAGTAGAATCATTGACCCACCTGCAGTCATTCATATCCAAGCGTCCTTAGTACAGTGGTTAGTACACTTGACATGTATAGAAGAGACATGGGTTCAACTCCCATAGGACACATAATATTTTATGGAGTTTCACACACAAACAACCAACAACCCTTGACTAGGATATAGATATTTCACCTTCACTAATCCCACAACCTTCTCACGCCTCAACCACAACTACTATACAACTCCTACCCTAGTTCTCCTTTAGAGATGGCAATTGACACCTGTTGGGGGGTACCTGTCACACTTTCAGAACAGGCCCTCCACGCTTCCAGCCACCAGAAATGCAGGTGGAGATCCAGTACTGATCCTTTGTCATCACTGCACCCTCTGCCTGCATTATTGGTGGCTATTGGTGCAGAGGTCATGTCCTGAAAGTGTGACAGGTACCCCCCAACAGGTGCCAATTGCCATCTCTACTCCTTATGACTATTTCACCCGCCTGTCAGCTCTAACTGCTAGCCTTCCCAACTCTGATATAGTTTGAGATTGGTTATCCCAGTCTCAAACTTCTGGAAGAATTTGTAAGCTTCATTTAGACTGCTCTGAGATGGGCACTAGAAACCCTAAAGCTGTTACTTATCATTTATTTTTCATCATCTCCTCCTACTAGTCACCTACAGCCAGGAATATAGATACTGTGCACCTACCCCATAAGTATCCCAAGGCTGAAAAATGTTCCCACCAATAACCGGAACCAGTGGAGTGGAATAAGCTCCACCCCCTTCTACTTGAATTGAGCATTCCAGAAGTTGGACCGGTGAGTGTCTTCAGGCGCCCTTATCTGTAGCATCAGTCAACAGCATCAATGATGGATCCTAACTAGAGGGCCAAGGATATCCTTGTCACACCACGTTTTGGAGTTGGAAATTTTATCTTGGACTGTCCTGTCCTGATCCATCCAGGCAGTACACACAGATAGTGTTAATTTCCCTTCCATCTGTTGGAATTACACTTGAGCTCTGTCTTTCTTCCTTTCTTTATACAATTTTCACTCATTTTCCAACCTCATTTCACTCTTTATTTTCTGCTAAAGCTAGACTGTTTTTCTGTTTATTCATTATGCATCATTTTCTGCTCCCACAACTTGGCCATATTATATCTAGACTATTTAATACTCTAGATATTAAGAAATCAAAATCATAATTTCTTGCTTTAATTGATCCTGAGATGACACTTTAGCCTACCTCAGTCAAGTGGCGTGCCTGCCTGCACGCCATTCTGCAATGGCGTGCGCAAGGGGGGTTGGCTTGCGCTTATCAACCCCCAGTTAAGCCAATATTGATGTTTTCCCTCAAGAATTCCATGCCTCCAAGACCAACATTTCCATGAACTTTGAGACCAAGCCATTTGA